CTATGAATCTACCTTAAGTGGAGTGACTTGTGGCCCAAGAAGAAAATGTATACTGATCTCTCAGCAGGGGCCAATGGCCTAGTCATCTGGTCAGTAGCCTGGATGGAAAGGACTGGAAACTGGAAACAAAGCCTATAGGACATGCAGGTGAAAGACATGTAAAATTCACATCAGATGTTAACACCCACTATAGAGCACTGATCACAGAAGATTCAATGAACAACCAGACAAAATAGCCTTTCCAGTTGTCAGCCAATATTTGTTAGACAATGGGAAAATGACAGTGACCATGGTGGCAGAGATTGAGGCTACATAGGTACCCCACACATGGACTGTATTTCCTCAAGACAACCTAGCTACTGCTACTGCTGAATGCCCAGCCTGTCATGACACAAGTGTTGAATCCCAATACACCACTATTTAAGAAGACTTGCCACTTGGCAAGTTGACTACATTGAACTTCTTCCATTCTGGAAAAGCCCGCAATACAGATTCACAGGAGTATCTGTTTGGGTATAGGTTTGTCTTTCCTGCTGGTAGATTCTTAACCACAAACACTGTCTGGAGACATTTGCTCTTCCCTATTCACAGGTATGGAATTATACCCAGCCAAGGATCTTATGAGTGGAGAGTTATCACAGAAGTTGGAGAGCACCCATGTTCATGAGGTCAACTGGTCATGTTAACACCATTCAGAAGCAGGTAGCTTTAATGTTGGAAGAGCCTTCAGAAAGTGCAGAAGCACTAAATCCAGGTAAACATGCTAAATGTGTGGAGTGTCCTACTTTGTGATGCAGCAGTATATTACAGAAGCACCCATAGAGCCCTGTGTCCCCAGTGGGAAGACAGCACAGCTGCAGTGTCCTGTGTTCCCCTATGGGCACCTGAATCCGTTAAACTCTTCCATTCACTAAAGGCAAGAACAGTTAATAGGCTGTTCTGATGCAGGGCCCAAAATTTAGAATACCCCATTTTCCATAGCTCTGAATGAGCCACTGGTTAGTTAGGGTCTTCCTTGTAGCAGGGGTAAGTGACCAATCAGTAACAGGGTGTGCTATCATGCAGTCTGAGAGAATTAGGAATATGGATGAAACCCACGTGACACACTTGAGTATCTCCTCATGCTTTTTTTGCTCTATTATAACCCCAACACTCAGCAGCCCTATTTCCAGAAGCACATGATCACTAGGGGTTCAGACACTTTAAGATGAAGGTTTGGGTCACAGTACCAGGTAAGTACTAAACCTCAACTAAAGGGAAAGAATGTAGGGGGATGGTACAGGAGGCAGAAGATGAACATCTGTTGTGACCCCAGATCAGCTTCAGTGGCAGGAGCTTTATTTCATCTTAGTAGTATCCTCTTGAAATTCTTCTCAAGAATAATGTCCTATGGGACAAGGAGTCACTGTTCTGAACTCTGCAAAGTAGTAAGTCTGTGCAAAGCAAGGGCCAACTCTAGGGGCTATTAGAATGCTATGCTTCCAGTGCCTCTTTTCCAACCAATGCCTGAATGCAACCAGGGTGCTAAGGCAGCCCCATTTAGGACACTTGTGACTCCTCTGATGTGCAATTTGGGCTCTGGTATTTGTTGTCAGCCTCGCCAGGACACTTAGTATTGCACCTCGGTCTAAAGTACTCCCCTAACCAACATGTTTCTTCTCTTTCCCTAACAAGCCCAGACCTACACTGTGGCCCAAAGACTCTTCTAGCTCCTTTCTCAGTTTCTCCCACAGCACTTTCTTCCTACCTCCACAACTCTTGAACATCGAATCCCACCTTAACATCTGCATATAAGAGGACAAAAGCCAGCAGTAGTTTCAAATTAAACTTAATCCTATAATTCAGATGTGGAAGCAAGCTTGCATATCCCTGTAGACACAGATTACTCCATTCAGAGGAAATGAGGTAGCAAAAAAATACCATCTAAGTCACGAGAGGTGACTGGGCCCATTCCTGCATTACCCTAACTGTGGTTATTAACTTTATTCCATATCAATGGGATATCTGAGGTATATGAATCCTCCCTTCTAAAACTCAGTCCCTACTCCTACTCTCAGTATTTCAAAGTATGTCAAGTTGTCCCCTCCCATTTGCTCTGGGCCAATTTTGGATTCCTAAATATGGTTTTGTGTTCTACTACAAGCGATATCTTTCTACTCTTGACCAAAGTAAACTCATGGCTTTCCTGGGCAAAGCTCTCTTATGGCTCCCACTGATGCCACACAAAGCTGCTCATCAATAAGAATCCAAAATTAAGTGGGCCAAGGGACCCAGACTGACCAGTGAGGCTAGAATTCCCATTTGTTTTGATCGGAGGCTCCCTGGATTTACTGACTCAGTAGGACCCAGGCAACTCTACCACTAATGCTAGCTCAAGGGCTTGTAATTAACCATGACACCACTGAGCTAGTCCTTCATTTTCTATTTTATTTCATTTAAAGCCTCTTCATTGCTTTAACTTGCTTTATTTCTGGACAGTAGTCCCACATGTGGTGGGGGATACCTAACTTTTAAAAACTTGCATTAGTCATTAATTTAAGAGCACTGTCTTGCCTCTATAAAGTGGCACATACGCTGGTTTTATTACAACAGGATAGCACATGGATATAGAATAATTTATATATATTGGCCTCAGCAGCTTTCCAGCTCCCTTTAGGAAACTACCTTCCTCCATTTTAAAGTGCTTAGTCCAAGAAACCTGAATTATTCAATTCACTCACCTAACTTCAAGTTTATTAACTGGTGGTTAGTTTTAAACTTGCAAATGGAAGCAGTTTATTTACTCTAATTCCTAGTAATGCACTGGGCTGTAACTTTTAGGATTCTTTGGTCTGCAAGTGGCAAACACCTAATTACACTAACTTAAGTAAAAAGAACTCATTGGATCACACACAGTAACACCACATCATAAGTGGGCTTAGAGACATATCAGAAAGCTGAACTTCATTTTTGAGTAGGCTAATCAACACTAAATGACCGGAGTTTTTTTTTTTAAACACTATTCCTTGATTGCAATCACATAAGGCAGCACGACAGGTTAGGGAATAAAGTCAAAGCTGGTTGAGTTTGACTGTTCCAAGTAAGGCTGGTTTGACAAGCTTAGTTTCTTCAAGAACTAGAATTTCTTGTTCCCTCTACCTTCCCTGGTATCAGATTCAATTATCACAGTACACATAGGGCCTTAATACCACCCTCTGATTGGGAATTTCATACTCTTATGAGGGCAAGTGCTCCATACCTCATTATCCTGCAAATATGTCTTCCAAAAGCTGTTCTGGAACAGATGTCAGTTTCAGCACATCTTGAGTTTTAGTAGCATGCCCACCTAGATAGTATGCCCTTCCTTAAAGTAGTCATGGTAGTTACAGGGATGTGGCAAAGGAAGTGGAATACTACCCTAATAAAAAGTCATCTAGACCTATAGATAAGAATGATCAAGGGGAGAGGCAGATGGGGAATAGATTCTCTCCAGAAGAAAGTCAGGGATGTGTTTGGCTGAGAATGTGGCAATAAATGTTGAACACTCGACACTCTCCTCTATAAGACCCAAGTACTTAAGAAACAGTTCCTTAGGAATCTAAGATTGCGGGTACACTCCAGAAGTACCTGGGGATACCCTCTTCTCATTGTCCATACCAAAGGAGCTACCTTATTAACAGATTCTTATTTAATTCACCATCCTAACTTCCCAAGTTTACTGGTGATTGATTTTAACATTGAAAATAGAGTAGACTCATTTACATTAATACCTCTAATATACTCATACATTCAATACACCCAGGAGAAAGTGGTTGTATTGCATTTCCAGTTTCCCAACCAGACATCAGGACACTCCACCTGTTTTACAAAAGACTTGCTAAGTAGTAACCTACAGCACATGAAACTCAGGCATAAGTTGTTAATTTCTTAATGCTCAGTGGAGCTTAGAACAGAACTATTTAAGTAGCTGATTAGGTTCACCCTATACAGTCTAGAGCTAGCAATATGAAGATCTACACCTTGCCTCAGATGTAAGTCGATTTTATACCCCTTTAAAACGAAAAAGCCCTGAGATCTATACCCAAGTTCTAGGATTCTTCTCAGGTGTAGCTCTACTGGTCACAGAAAAGATCCATTTAGATGCCTTCAGTAGGGAGTGCAATTGACTAAAAGGTCCAGCTGAAGTGCCATGGCAAAGACATGAAGGCAAGCCCATTACTCAACATGAGACTCCTGTCAAACATCGAGTCAAAGACATGCTGTTGTCCTACTCAAAGTTCTTGTGCAAATACATTGCAATCTGAGGCTTTAAACCTGACCTCCCCTCTTCCCCACTCTGTGGGAAGAAGCCTCTCCTGTGGTCCCTACTCTTTTCTTTCACAGACATCTACTCCATTGAGTACCTGTCCATTTAACATTGTCTTGACATTTGTTCCTCAAAGGACCTGGCCCAACTCAGGAGCTTCTGTGAGTTTTTCCCCATTTCTATCAGAAGACCTAAGAACCCAGAAGGCTTGTAGCTCCTATAGCTACTGCAGCTTAGAAATGCTTACTCCTCCTTTACACACACAGCATGGTTGGGGTCTCAATCAAACTTATGTGCCCACTTAATACTTTTCCGAAGGTGAGCACTGTGACAATGAACTTCTGTACAAGAGTCAGGCAGCCAGAAATCAGAATGTGTAAAGAAGAATTGAAAATAAAATTGCACTTTTTAGGTACAAAATCATAAAGCCTGCTTCACTAGAAAAGGCAGAAACCAGTGTATTTAGGTGTTGAGTTATGCTGGGAGACACGAAATGCCTTGTACCTACAACAATGCTTCGGCTTTTCTAAGCCTCTTGTCACCTTTAAAATTATCCTTCAGTCATATTTTTGACAGAATAATTCACAAGAATCTGAATCAGATGAGCAGCTACTATTTGTTTTATTAAATACAGATGACATTTAAAAATTCTTAACTGCAAGAGATTAGAAATATAAACCTTGCCTGGCTCTTAAAAGGAGATGAACAAATGGGTTGTTGGTGAACCACGCCCTTTTACATGTGGGTAGAATATAATGTCACATGGCAGTAAGATGTTGAAAAGTCAAAAGAGACCTGTCTCTCTCTTTTCTCTTTAAACCAGAAAACCTCATACCCAGCCCTCAGTGAAAGAAAGGAAAGCATTAAGGACTTCAGACAGAACAGCATTGTGTAACTTGACTAAAGATCATGCATTAATAGTTGTTAGGCATTTAGATAAAATTTTCTAATATCTGAAAATTGTCAAAAACAGTCTAAGGTTACCGCTGGCCCCAAAGACCATTTTGGTCTGCCTCTTTCCCACCCCAACTCCCGAGACAGTCTCACTGTGTTGCCCAGGCTGGAGTGCAATGGCGTGATCTCAGCTCACTGCAAACTCTATCTCCTGGGCTCGAGTGATTCTTGTGCCTCAGCCTCCCGAGTAGCTGGGATTGCAGGTGTGCACCGCCACACCTGGCTAATTTTTATATTTTTAGTAGAGACAGCGTTTCACCATGTTGTTCAGACTGATCTCAAACTCCTGGCCTCAAGTGATCTGCCTGCCTTAGGCTCTCAAAGTGCTGGAATTACAGGCGAGCCACTGCACCTGGCCCTCTTTTTTGCCTTTAAAAATAAGGGATGTGGATTTGTAAGAAAAAAAAAAGTCACATGCAAAACTACATATATGTAGAGAAAAATATTTCCTGTTGATCATTTTAAAAAGCTTTTGATGGGATATTGTATTTTAATCAAATTTTAAAGATTAATGGAGGAATCATGAAAGGGAAGAACACTTGATATAACGAAGCAGATTTTATAAATGCAATAAAAGTATTTGTTTCTTAAAAAAATCCCCTTACTCTAAGTTTCAGGGTTTTCAGCACATGACCTAGAAGGAGGACTGGCAAATCCATAGTTGGAACCTTGTTCTGACAAGCACACCATCTCCATTCTATTAAAAATGAGAATAAGTCCGCTGGGCATCAGTAATTTTACACAAAACTCAGACCTTATCCCAAAGGAATAATCATCTGGATGCCAGCTGACCTAAATTCTTAGGGAAAACTGAAGGAATTGAACAGACTAAAAGATTTAATATCTTCCCGACATCAATACCCTAGGTAGCAAAACATTAACCCCTAATATTCTGAAGAAGTGTTCTGCCCATTTCTGGTGGTTACAGCAAAGGACATGGTTTACTTTGACTTCTGGAATTTCTTTCAGTGCTTTGTCACCCTAGATACTTATTTAATTATCTGATCTGCTTTCCTGCCCAGTGTTGGCTCCTCACTTATGAAATTCTCCAGGTGTCTTTCACTTATCCAACTGAAACAAATGTCCGAGAAAGCCAAAGGTGGCCCTACCTCCTGAATCCAGGAGCAGCACTGCCCACTGTGGGGCTTCTATCAATGTCCAGACAGAGTCCATGAACTGGCTTTACAGATTCAGGGATGCCAGGAAGGATCCCAGTAAAGCCACCAAATCGATTGTGGGAGAGGAGATGCCACATACCTGTCTTCCCACCAGTGGGTTGCTGGGAATTTCATCATTCCTCTATACTGGTATATCTACCATGAGACCTAGAAAGATGTAGATGAATATGCTTAAGTAAATTTAATAATGTTTGAAAGACACTAGACAAAAAACAGGATGAAGATTCTAGATCTAATACCAGAGCTAAATTATCTTGGGAAAGTTGTTGCCTCTGAATTTCAGATATGGTAACAGGCATTAAGCACCAAGAAGGAACAAGCACATGGCTCTGTAAGAACTGCCTAGACTAGTACAACGCCCTATAAACTAGCATTCTTTAAGTCTTCTGGCATCTCTGGAAGAGATGAAGACTCACTATGAACCAACGAGTTCAGTGATATTCTTTGCTGGCTGAGGACACCCTCTCCCTATTTGTACAACTGGCAAAGCTTTTCCAACCAAAGCTACAAAACAAAAATACACTAAAATCAACATTTGGGTACACACTGGAAAATTTAGCTGCATTTATGTACAGAATATGCTAGTGAGCTGCCATCTTCTCTGCTGTGTCACCACAAGACCCATGTCATGCTCACATTGTAGAGATGTAGGGATTTATTTCATGTAGGTATTTCTTATCCCTACCTAAGAAGGAAAATTAGATGAGCCTAAGGCCTAAAAATACTTCTATGTTACTGGAAGAATTGCCTGCATGATATATTTTGGCTGGGAAAGCATAAAAGATACATCAAGCCTTACACATTCCTTTGAATGCTTTTCTATGATTAGAGAAAAAAGAGAACATCATGTTGGTTGTGAAGAACATACTTAGAAAATATGCCATCTTCCACTACTGTGGCCTTAATCTAGCCTACAAAGTGTTTGTCATCAACATAGAAGAGCAGATCCTGCTTTCTCTGGATCTTTGCTTTAGAGTTTCAGCATCTAGTCATCCACTGAGATCTTCTTGTTCCAAAACACCTTCTGCGGTGAATCATCTGAGACCCATTTTCTTTAGGTTAGCTTATTCTCCCTTCCAAAAACTGCCTCCCTCCATCCAGGGTTTTATACCCTAGATATCCCTTTAGGGCCCTCCTAGTCAATCGCTGAGGTTGCACATCTCCCACATGAAACAATCACACCGTTTTCCTATACTTGCCTCCTCTATGAACATTTTCCATCTTTTCCCTACTCTGTGCCTGGTTGTACCAGTTCTTTACAAACTGTATCACATGTAGTCCTCTGCCCTCTTGCTTCCAAGTGGGATTATACAATAGGAGGCACCCAGGAGGTTAGCGGGTAATTGTTCTCCCATCTTCTCATTGCCTCAGTATCTCACTTCTGCCAGCAGCTGTACCTTCTAGAACCACTGCTCCTGGTGCCAAAGCCCCTCACACAACACTCCCTTTACCTAGCTCTGTGTATTGCATACTTTCCCATGGCACTTGCATGCCTGTGGTGGTAAATGGTTCACCTGTACTAGCCCCTTCAGGTTTTCACATTCCTGAGTTAAGGTAATCTATCCCCATCTCTGCAATGTTCCCCCTAAAGTCTGAAGTCAGTGCAGAATGTGCTTCTTCCTTCTGGGACTCTGATCATCAGAAGTCTGCAAACAGAAGGAGCAAATACATTCAACCATAGTGTCAAATCTTCATTAAAAAAATGTTCAATACATTAAATGTATATGTGAACAGCTAGAAGGGAAAGGAGATGTCATTTTGGTCTCAGATACATGTGATAAGTCTTAATTTTCTCCAAAGAGACCTTTTAAGTTTTCTACCCCAGAATTTTTATTCAGTAGTTATCAATGAAATATGACCCACCTGAAGATGTAGATTAATTCTGCAGCCCATTATGAGTGTCACAGTTTATCAAGACAGTTCTTTGGAAATAGTGAGTTTCTAAGTAAACTTTATGTGATTTATACCTTAAAGCAGTATACAAACAAAGATCTGAGAACCTGTGTTAGTTCTGTTTCTCACCGCTTATTCTAGTTAACTCAATAGACTTTGTGCAATCAGTGCCTATCTATCTTAGTGACACTTTTAGAAATGGAGGATAAGCAGTGAGTTGCCTTGTTTTCATTTATTAGGCTAATAACATAATTACCTCTACACATTTAACTAGAAATGAAAATATGAGTATGCTTTGTTAGAATGTACTAATTTAGTTTATCTTGCAGCTCCACCTCAAAGGAAGAATGTACTAACGTTGATAAAGCTATTTACATTTGTTTTAATTTTAATTGAGAAAAATAGCCTAGAATATGATGGCTAATTTATGTTTGTCACCTAAATCATGGATCTTATGATTTAGAGATACAGACCCAATTGCTATGCCCCCTCACATTAGTTCAGCCCTATTCTCAGCTGCTTGCCCAGTGGAGCGCCCTAGCCTCAACTGTCTTTTCAGAGGTTATGCCTCTCTCACCACTGGAACTCAGGTGGACCACCACATACTATATGGAATGAGAAGCAGCTTTCCCAGCAGCTGCTTGGAGGGGACAAGTGATGACCTGGACATACAGGATACTTGATGCATGCAGGGAAAGAAGAGGATGCTGGCAGGTAGGTTATGTGCCCTTCATCCTTCAGAACGGCCACAGGAGCCATCATACTTGGGAAACAAAGCCACTGCAGAAGTCATTCAAACCAACAACTTGCACCCCATACCGCATGTCAGCAGTGACTCCAGGAGAGCCTAAGCTGCGAGATGTCCTACATGCTCAAGGAGAACATGATCTTTAGGTCACAACCTCTTATTGCTTTCCTTCTTTCCATAACTCAAAGAGTTAAAGCACAAGAACAAAACAAAGCGTAACATAAGGGTAGATTGACACGTGATTTCCAATGTCTGGTTAGAGAATATTACCAGGCTGGATTTTAAAATTCTATTTGAACTCCCAATCCCTTAAGTGTGTTACTTTTCCAATATAAAGATGGAATCGATACCAGCAATGTAACAAGAGCTAGTTTAAAAATCCAAACAAGATGATTACCTGAAATAAAGTCATTAACTAATATGGGCAGAAAGTTTGTCAGAAGTAGCCTCTATGAATCTAATAGTTTTTATATTGTTTTGCTTTTTTGAGATCAAGTCTTACTCTTCTCATCCAGGCTGGAGTACAATTGCACTATCTTGGCTTACTGCAACCTCCACCTCCCAGGTTCAAGCAATTCTCCTGCGTTAGCCTCCCCAGTAGCTGGGATTACAGGCATGTGCCACTATACCCAGCTAATTTTTGTATTTTTAGTAGAGATGGTGTTTCTCCATGTTGGTCAGGTTGGTCTCAAACTCCTGACCTCAGGTGATCTGCCCCCCTTGGCCTCCCAAAGTGCTGCGATTACAGACGTGAGCTGCTGCTGAATCTAATAGTCATAAATTACACGTTTACAAATAAATTCAGTTTTCTAAACACTCTTCACAAAATGTTTTAATAAAGGATTTTTCCTTTGCTTGCATGATACCACAAGCAGCTGTGTCCTTCTAGTAAAGCTGTGGGCAGCTAAAGTCACCCAACTTCCCCTCTTCCTGCCTCACTCTTTCTATTCTGAGGCTGGACACTTCTTTACCTAGTCAACTAGTGCACTCAAGTTCTGCCTTAGAATCTATTTTCTAGGAATCCAAGGTAATCTTAGAATGTACAAACATCCTTTCAAGTACTGACAAAATGTACTCCTAGCAGTGATATTCCATGCACTAGACTGCCTGACCACTATACCTGTCGGACAAGTACAATCCTAGGCACTGAGGGTGCACCAGTGAACAGTATGTCCCTGCCCTCCTGCAGTTTGCATTCACATGCAGACAGAGTCGGGTAGAGCAAGTACTATGAGAGAAATAAAGCAGGATATGGTGTGAGCTTGTGATGGAGCATGAAGCAGCTCTATTTTGGGGAGGGTTTTCAGAAGTGGCACATCTTTGATCCACTAAAGCCTGCCATTAACTGAGATTGTGGTATGGCCACATGTAACACTTCCACTTATTTTAGTTGGTACACTCAAAGAGCTTTTGTGCACACATTTCGTATTATAGAGTCTACATGTGTGGGTTAAGCTTTAGATCAGAAACTTAGTGCCTTTCACCACTACCATTTCAGTGTAGGATACCCAAATAGGAAAGCACACATACTGTAGTATGAGAATGTAGGTTAGGTTGCATGAGACTAATGGGTATCAGGTCTTTAGTAGACCCATTAGATGCTCAAAAACCAAGTTCTTCCACACCCTGAAAGAAAAGCGCAGGTTATGAGGCTATCATAGCAGCTTGCTACTATGATACTTGGCTCAACCACAGGGTGAAGAAAATGCCCAGTAAATTAAGCAAAGCCAATGAGTTTTGGCCCAGAGTATATTTTTTCCCCTCCCATGTTTCCTTGTAAAGCATGTGTACCTTTGAAAAGATTAAGTTCATTAGTATGACAAAGTACTTTAAATACTTCTCTTGCTCTTCATAACTTTATAGAAGAGAAATGATGCCCAAGAGAGATTAAACCAGATTTAAAGAAACAGCCTTCCTCAAAGTACGTAGGTAATTAAGTCCAAGTGGGACCTGAATTCAATCCAAAATCCAAATATTCACCAAATTTGTAGTTTTAAACTAAAGTGACCAGCATAGAAGACTTGGAACTTTCTCTAATATTAGTTTATCTATAATGGCAATACATTTATTACATGAAATAACAAAACCCATGGTTTACATTAACTCCCAAGTCTGTCACTTTTATTATGTTACCTTATTTGGATACTTGCTTACCCAAGGTATAACTTACTTGCATGTCTACTCTAGGATTATGAGATCCAGCAGTCCAAGTGTTTTGGACTTGAGGTAGATGCCCAAAAAAGTCCATAACTTCAAAGAAATGTAAACTCAGCTTGGTTAAATAGAGCACCTGATTAACTGAAGGGTTTGATCTGGGCAGGTGAAACCAAGACTGACTCCTGTAGAAGTAACTGATCCAGGGGGGCTGTACTCATGTTTTAACAGTGCTTGTATGAGAAGGGAAAACCTTCAGTTATCTAATTTCTGTACAGACATGTGCAAACCCAACAGGCTAGATATTTGTTTTGACAGATGAGTAACAAAGGACCCTACCATTCTGTAACACACATTAACACCAGTTATAAAGACTCTACCATGGAAAAGGTAATAAACCTCTGGGCTTAGACTTTGCCTTGGAAGAATCCAAACTTAGACAGCTCTATATGCACTGATAGGAAATGTCCATACAATATACTGAAAATGTTTGCATTTGGTTTTCAAGTGGTGATGTACATAAGTATTAGTACTGTTTACTCAGTCAAAGTATAAGTAAAGAGTATCTGGAAGAAAACAAATGTTTTCTTTAGAAATGGGAATTGGTTTGCTCAGGGAAAGGATAGGGAGGGAGACTACATGTTTTCGGTGAGTAATTCATCAACATGATTTATACAGCATGACATTCAAAGAAACTATTCTCAACAATAGAAGAGGGAATCCTCCCTAACTCATTTTATGAGGCCAGCATCATGCTGATACCAAAACCTGGCAGAGACAACAAAATTTCAGGCCAATATCCCTGATGAACATCAATGAGAAAATCCTCAGTAATATACTGGCAAACCAAATACAGCAGCCCATCAAAAAGCTAATTAACCACCATCAAGTTAGCTTCATCCCTGGGATACAAGGCTGGTCCAACATACACGGATCAATAAACATAATCCATCACATAAACAGAACAAATAACAAAAATGAAATGATTCTCTCAATAGATGCAGAAAAGACTTCTGACAAAATTCAACAGCCCCTCATGCTAAAAACTCACAATAAACTACGTATTGATGGAACGTATCTCATAATAAGAGCTATTTATGACAAACCCACAGCCAATATCATACTGAGTGGGCAAAAACTGGAAGCATTCCCTTTGAAAACAGGCACAAGACAAGGATGTCCTCTCTCACCACTCCTATTCAATATAGTATTAGAAATTCTGGCCAGGGCAATCAGGCAAGAGAAAGAAATAAAGGGTGTCTGATTAGGAAAAGAGGAAGTCAAATTGTCTTTGTTTCAGATGACATGACTGTGTATTTAGAAAACCCCATCATCTCAGCCCAAAATCTCCTTAAGCTGATAAGCAACTTCAGCAAATCTCAGCATACAAAATCAATGGGCAAAAATCACAAGCATTCCTATACAC